ATAAAAAGAAAGTCATGTCATGAGATATCTTTAGATTCACGATCTTTTTCTGTACGTATGTAAATCCTCCTACACAAATAATATAAATAATTCTAGTATTTAAATACCAATTTTAGGTGGAAGTCATGCTACAGCTATATTAGTAGTATAGTTGTAGCAGGAAAGGGTCCGCTCGACCGGGGTAGAAACACGCTCTCACAGAATAGCAGCGTAAAATAGCGGCTTAATGCTGTTGTTTCGTATTGTGAGTGTAGAAAACCAGAGAACTTTTTTACTGGAGACGAGGCATTGCATATTACTCCTCATGGGTGTAACGCATCTGCATATTGATTCTCAATCGAAATGTAGGTGTCTAATATCTATGGGCCACGGAGAATACTTACCGTCTGGTACGCTGTGTGCTCGTATGTTATCTTTATCCTATATAATAAACCAGCTTCTTTCCCCGGCTTGTGAACAGAAAGGCCTGCAAATTTATTTTCTCGGTGCAAACACAAGAAAAAGAAATCATCAAGATTGGTCGAGCCATTTTCAGTTTTTACAAGAGAGAGAGAGTATAGAGAGAGAGAGAGAGAGAGAAAATATATATGCACTCGGACAGAATAATGATTTTTTGGTTTTTTTGTGTTATGTATGACACATACAAATTTTTAGGAAACTGAGTATACAACCCATTTTCGATTTTCTTTTTGAAGGTAAGTGAAAATTTCATTAGTATTTAATTGGAACACTAGCTTTTTACCCGCGGCTTCGCTCGGGTGGGCTTCCGTCGAGGAACATCATTAATATTGCTCCATACCAAAATCAGCAAAGTTGGATCCCCTGTAGAGTCGCCTCGTTGTCGATATGTTTTGAATTCTTAGAGATTATTAGACGTAGATTTTTTTGGAATTGTATCAATATCATACGTCTAGCAACCCCTGTCACTTTATATCGTTCATGACTTCTGAGGTATCTTTAATAAGGGTAAATTATCCTTGATTCAAAGTTACATTATTTACACTTTTACTCTTTATATTTATTCATAAATTAAGGTAATTTAGTTTTGACCAAATAATGTCAAATTTCGTTGTGTTCTGTTAATTTGCGGCAGAGTACCTATTTGCGATATTTTTTTTATACCATTGGCCTATTGAATATTTGTTGGCGCTATAAAATAGTTGCTTATATTTTTACTAATCCATCAAATAGAGATAAAAACTTACATCGGACAACTTAATATCAAAGGCAGTTAGTGAAATTATTGCCATACCGATATACACCCAATAAGTATAGTTACCTAAAAGTTTCTCTTTTTAAGCACAGTTTTACACACACAGTATTCAGTATAACAGTTTAGTTAGTATTCTGCTAAACGTGGCTGTTACGGTAAATCATCCCGATAATTGCTGGGTATTTTAAGTTTTTGATATATCCATGAATAAGTATTAAATAGATCACGCTAATTTTAGATCAAAACCATGAAAGCAAAAACTCTCTATTTATTTATATGAGGTCAGATCGTTGAATTGATCATATTATCAGGAAGTGCTGGACCACTTCAAATATTGCAATCATTTCATGATAGCCTCTTAATATTGACCATCTCTCCATAGTATAAAACAAAGTCGCTTCCCACCGTCGGTACGCTTGTATCTTTTAAACTACTTACGCAACGAATTTTGACATTGAAGTGATATGTACTTACGTACTAGAACAGCTATTTCAAACAAAAAATGTGCGCTACTCTGTGTTCGCGCAGTTGGTTTTTTTATCATAGAATAAACACAGGTAGAACGATCAGGTAAATATAGATTATAATAATAAGACGGTAATAATAGATTGTATTGTTAAATAGGTAAATTATATCGAGAGAAATTTTCAAAATTTATTATTTAGTTTGTATATTATATTCGTTTATATAATATAATATTACCTAATATTATATCACAATTTAATTGTAATGATATTTTTATCTGAATATTTTAAAAGGTATCTATATCAAATATAAAATACACACTAAATGTATGTTTAACAAAACTTATTAATATAACATTTAAATTAGGATAAGAGTCGTTCAGAAATGGTGGGCACGCGAAAGTTAAAAATTGACTGGAAATAAAAGAATAATGAGCAGATTTAAATATTAATAATTTAGCCTCATTAAGATAAATCATATACGTTTCTACAAAAATAAATGTGTATAATAGTATATTCGTCCTATATTTAAGTACTTACAGAAATGTCGCATCTGAACAAATTAATTTCAAAATCTATATTACACGACACGAAATGGCGTCTTAGGAATAATTTGTTTTATTATTAATTTATAGTATTTTTATTGATTAAGTATCTTATTAAACGATGAAAAGTAATTCCTTGGTTTTTACTGACATTTCTTGAATTATTTGTGCAATATCTAAGTACACACGACGGCATATTTTTATCAAAGATTTTTTTTAATCAACACAACATGTGACAACTCTACAAGCGCCTAGCGAGTGACTGATTAAAGTGCGGTGTAAGCACCGCAGTTGAATGGAACAGAGTAGCTGAATGCAGTGTTGCCTCTAGTATGTAGTGCATAATAGCTCAATGAATTTTGATGAGGTTTTCATCAATAGACAGAACGATTCAAGAGGAAGGTTTATATACATATAATATATAGTATATATAGTAATCTATAAATATAAAAATCAATTGCTGTCCGATAGTTTCGTTAAAACTCACCGATTGTAATGAATTTTTTTGTGTGTAGTTGTTTAGATTTTATATCCGCTAGGTGGCGCTGTTACCGATATCCAGAAATCACACGTGCGAAACCCTGGTGAACCGCTAGTATCGTATAAATGTCAACGTTTGTCAAATTTATCCACAATCTACAATTGAATCTACGAAGTCAATTCTCGTTTCGCCATAATATAATACGAAATCACCATCTAGTAATATCAGCAACAGTGGAATGTTAAGCGGATGGGGTGATCCTTGGGCTACCTCAAAGCCGTGAACATTTATATATATATATATATATATATATATATATATATATATATATATATATATATATATATATATATATGTTCGTGATGAGGCAAAGAGTTATGTGGATTCAGTTTCTGTTTCTGTTAAAAAATGCGCTATCGGCGCCGCTAGCTGTGAATAGTGAAACTATTTTACGATATAATTAGAATATTATGAAAAAGCAATATTGGGTTTAACTACGATCTGGCCGCGACGTATAAAAAATATACGTCGCGGCCAGATCGTATCGATCGAATATAAAGTATAGGTGTAATGAGAGTTTTGCAATAATCGCAGGCAAACCAATGTTAATCAGTTCATTATTATATATTCGTAATCAAAGTAAAAACCATCTGATTTTAATAAATATAATTATTTAAACGTATAAATGTAAGTTGTTTATGTTATTGATTAAAACTACTTTTACGGATTTTATCGCGTTTTATTTATATTAATTTTAATACCCGACATTTCGGGTGCTTTCGAACACCCATGGTCACGGGGAATTCCATGGATGCTGGAAAGCACCCGAAACGTCGGGTATTAAAATTAATATAAATAAAACGCGATAAAATCCGTAAAAGTAGTTTTAATCAATGTATAGTGTTGGCGTAAATATAAGAAATCATTATTGTTTATGTTATTTAATTTATTAGTAATTAAATGATAATTGACTTCCTGGATGTCTTACCAGGTCGTCACTCCATCTAGTGGAGGGTCGCCCCACACTTCGCTTACCGGTCCGAGGTAGCCACTCGAGAACCTTTATTCCCCCACGGTTGTCGGTTCTTCGATCTATATGGCCGGCCCATTGCCACATCAGCTTACTGATCCGTTGGGCTATGTCAGTCACTCTGGTTCTACTGCGAATACTCGGACCGTGCTTTGTGGCATATCTTGAGGGAGGTCTATTTCAGCAGTGAACTTGAAATTCTGCAATGATGATGATGATGATGAACTGATAACTGAAGGCTGAACATACTACTTTTTACTTTTTATGACAGATGGCGCTGCGCTTTTTCGGAAACGTACAATGTAGGTCGTTGACGTAGCTTCAAATTATTACATAACAGTTACAACAAATTTTAAATTTCAACCATAAATATTGTATTAGTTTAAAAAAACAATATGCTATTCCGCTTATAACGAACAGAATCATACGTAAAAAAAATCAACTTCTAAAGAAAGGAAAATATTTAACCATCCTTTTTTATGTTACGTAATCGGATAAAAAGTAGCGTATAAGTAAACTCGGGTCACTAACTGCCTGCATACGAAATTCATGGAGATATGGCCAGTAGTTTTTGCGTGAATCTTTAATACACAGACAGACAGACAAAAATTCTAAAAACCAGTAATTTGGCTTCAATATCCTTTATTTAGTCCCACGGACTTTTTTTTTCCAGGAAACATTAGAATTATAGACAAGACTTTTCTACAGATTTATTATAGATAGATAATAATAATAAAAAGGCGTAGGGAATTGACGACCCCATCGCCCGCTGACGTAACAGTTAAGTGACAAAACTGCTACGTCAACGCAGTCAGTCAGCGCCTTGCGAGAGGTGTGAGCGCCGTGCCGCGGCAGAATTTAGGGTGCAGAGGCCCGTTTGTGCTTATGGCTACACACGAAACGGTGCCGGGCCTGGGCGTCTCCCGTTAATGGACGCCCAAATAATGGATGATGGACAAAAAAGATAGTGCGCAAAGGGCCGCTGCCTGGGGGTCGCCGGGGCGCGTCTGGAGCTGGCGCTGGACGCGGCAGCATGCGGGCCGCCAGCCGAGCGCGAGGAGCTGCACGGTCATCTACCAGCCCTCCGCATCCATCATCCCCACCAGAAGGCTTGGTGTCGGCTGGGTCTTCTCGGACTCAGCAAGCGGCACCCGCCGCTGGTGGAGCACGTCGCATGCGTTGGTCACAAGAAATGAATGCAAACGCACTGCGGGCGTACTTTAGGGCAAAAGGGGAAGAAACTGGATGTTTGGCGTATCGGGCTAGGATGCATCGTCTTTTTGCTGAGCTGGAGCCATCTTTAATCGTCACAGAGCAAAACCTGGCAGACCGAGTTCGGTATATCTTGCGCTCAAATATATTTGATGTCGCCGAACTCGAACGGCTACGACGTGAGGCTGTTCCCTCGTCGGATGAGAATGCTACGGCTGAGGATGCGGCGCCACAAATGGTAGAGCAACCCGCAAACGTGGATGCCGCCGTGAATACCCCAGTTGTGGTTGATTCAAACGATGATGGAACAGTCGCCCAGGAACTGGAATTAGAGTATATGAGGAGTATATTGGAAGAGGCGATTGTGGAAACGCGCAGTACGCCCTCTCGAAAATCGACCGCGACTTCCCCGCATAGCCCTAAGCAAGCGGAATCGGGCTGTCGTGAGGGCTCTGAACCCAATGCTGGTTACCTATTTGGAAGCCAGCCGGGACCTTTGCGAGACGGACTCAATTCTTTTTGGCGCCGCGCTGGCAGTCTGCCGTATCATAGGCGCCAAGGTTTCCACGGCTGGACGCGCTACTGGCCATAGTAGCGCTATCCCAGCATGGAGAAGAAGAATTGAGGAACGTATCGCAAAGGCTAGAGCTCTCATCGGCAGACTGATATGCTTCAGATCAGGCAACAACAGGCCAAGAATTGTGCGCACCGTCAGGATGGCGTTTGCTGGGACAAATGTCAGTTTGTCCCAGCCGGATATAACGCAAAAACTGACGGAGCGCATAGATGATCTGAAGCAGAGAATCGCTGCTTGGGGAAAGCGGATTCGGCGATATACCGAGAGGTCGACACGGTTCAACCAGAATCGTCTCTTCCAGAGTGATCAGAAGAGGCTCTATGAATCATTGGAGCGACCAATGGTAAGTGGAACGGGTCCAGCACCGAATCAGGCCGACACTGTAGCATTCTGGCGCGGCCTGTGGTCAGAGCCCGTAAACCACAGCGAGGGCCCTTGGACGGAAGTTGTGGCGAGTCAGTGTGCGGGTATTACGCCCATGGACCCCGTCATCATAACGCCGGATGACGTAGCTGAGGCGGTTCGTAGGGCCCCGAACTGGAAAAGTCCGGGGCTTGACGGGCTGCATCACTACTGGCTGAAGGGGTTCATGGTGTGTCACTCTGTGCTCGCCCGACAGTTTCAAGAGGCTCTCAACCAGAAGTCGCTCCCAAGCCTCTTCACTACTGGGATCACTCATTTAGTTCCTAAAGACCAGGGTACCACAGACCCGAGCAAATACCGCCCCGTCACGTGTCTACCGACCATATACAAGACACTAACATCCATTTTGAGCGCGAGAATCACTTGTCACCTGGACTCAAATCAGGTGATGTCGCGCGCTCAAAATGGATGTCGGGGCGGTGGTCGTGGAACCAAGGAACCACTCCTCATTGACGCGGTCATTGGCAAAGTGGTGAAACGCAACCGTCGGAACTTCTCCGCCGCCTGGATAGACTACAGAAAGGCATTCGACTCGGTGCCCCATACATGGCTAAAGAGAGTCCTCGAGCTGTACAAGATAGACTGTACAGTTAGAGACTTCCTCGAGCAGTGTATGGGGCAGTGGAGTACGATCCTTTGTCATCTGGGCGAGCGGATGATGGCTGCGGAGAACCACATAAGGATAAGAAGGGGTATCTTCCAGGGCGATTGTCTGAGTCCAATCTGGTTCTGCCTCTCTCTGAACCCTCTCAGTACCTTACTGGAGGGCTCCGGGAGGGGATTTCAGCTACGGAAAGGAGGGACAAAAGTGACCCACCTTTTCTATATGGATGACCTCAAGTTATTCGCCTCCAGTCGCTCCCATCTTATGGAATTGCTAAACATCACTTGTGAATTTAGCAATTCCATTGGAATGGAGCTGGGGACGGATAAGTGTGCGGTCCTCCATGTTGAAAGGGGAAGGGTTGCTAACTCTGAGGGCGTAGACTTATCTATGCCCGTCAACTTAAGGACCCTTTCCGAGGCTGAAACATACCGATACCTGGGTATGTCACAAAACATCGGTATCGATGAGACTGGTATGAAACAGTCAGTTTGCGACGTGTTTTATGCACGCTTGACCAAAGTGCTTAACAGCCTTTTGTCCGGTGTGAATAAGGCACACGCATATAACGGCTGGGTCATGCCTGTCCTCATGTATACCTTTGGCATACTCAGGTGGACTCAGACTGAACTTAACGCCCTGGATAGAAAAGTCCGCACTACAATGACGTCCCATAGGATGCATCATCCGAGATCGTCGGTAATGAGGCTGTACTTGCCGCGGAAGCATGGTGGTCGTGGCTTCTTGAGCGCGCTCACCATGCATAATCGCGAAGTGTGCAGCCTCCGTGATTACTTCCTGGCGAGATCGGATGATCCATTCTATAAGGACGTCATTTCTTGTGATAAAGGACTTACCCCTCTATCCTTAGCCAACGAGCAATGGCAAGACCCGGCAGTGCAGAGCATTTCCGACCGGGAGACCGTATGGAAGGAGAAGGAGCTCCACGGGAGGTTCTACAAGGCTCTACATGAGCCTTTCGTAGACACAGTAGCCTCCCTCCACTGGCTACGCTTTGGTGATCTCTTCGGGGAAACCGAGGGTTTTGTCTGTGCAATACAGGATCAGGTTATTAAGACCAACAACTATCGGAGATACATCCTAAAGGATGGCACCGTCGACATCTGTCGAGCTTGTCGCCATCCCGGTGAGTCACTTAGGCATGTTATCTCCGGTTGTTCGGCGCTTTCTAACTCTGAGTACTTGCACAGGCACAACCTAGTAGCCAGAATTCTACACCAGGAGCTCGCTCTGAAATACGGTCTCGTGGATCGGAAATTGCCGTATTACAAGTACTTGCCGGAAGCCGTGCTCGAAAATGATCGCGCCAGGCTCTATTGGGACCGGGCCATCATCACAGACAGGCTATTCTTGCGAATAAGCCTGATATTGTGCTGATGGACCGGGCACAGTCAAGGATATTTTTGGTCGACATTACCATTCCGTATGACGAGAACCTCGTGAAAGCCGAAACAGACAAGCAAACAAAATATCTGGACCTGGCTCACGAGGTGACCGACATGTGGGGTGGTCTGCCGACCGAAATTATCCCTGTAGTCGTCTCTGCAAACGGGCTAATCCCAGTCAGCCTCTCGGGTCATCTGAGGCGGCTGGGACTACGTGGCGGACCGCTCCAGGTTCAAATGCAGAAGGCGGTGCTCCTCGATACCGCCCGCATCGTCCGCCGGTTTCTTTCCCTTTCCCCCCTAACCCTCGGCCGTTTGGTCTCCCCTGCCGAGGGCCTCCATCTGGTGGGGCTTTTATTTATTTATGTACTTTTATATTTATTTTATGTTATTGATATTTATGTATATTTGTCTTTTCATTTTCATTTATAATTATATATTTATAGCACCCAACCAGATGAGAAAACTATATAGATACCCCAAAATAATAATAATAATAATAGGCGTAGGGAATTGACGACCCCATCGCCCGCTGACGTAACAGTTAAGTGACAAAACTGCTACGTCAACGCAGTCAGTCAGCGCCTTGCGAGAGGTGTGAGCGCCGTGCCGCGGCAGAATTTAGGGTGCAGAGGCCCGTTTGTGCTTATGGCTACACACGAAACGGTGCCGGGCCTGGGCGTCTCCCGTTAATGGACGCCCAAGTAATGGATGATGGATAAAAAGATAGTGCGCAAAGGGCCGCTGCCTGGGGGTCGCCGGGGCGCGTCTGGAGCTGGCGCTGGACGCGGCAGCATGCGGGCCGCCAGCCGAGCGCGAGGAGCTGCACGGTCACCTACCAGCCCTCCGCATCCATCATCCCCACCAGAAGGCTTGGTGTCGGCTGGGTCTTCTCGGACTCAGCAAGCGGCACCCGCCGCTGGTGGAGCACGTCGCATGCGTTGGTCACAAGAAATGAATGCAAACGCACTGCGGGCGTACTTTAGGGCAAAAGGGGAAGAAACTGGATGTTTGGCGTATCGGACTAGGATGCATCGTCTTTTTGCTGAGCTGGAGCCATCTTTAATCGTCACAGAGCAAAACCTGGCAGAACGAGTTCGGTATATCTTGCGCTCAAATATATTTGATGTCGCCGAACTCGAACGGCTACGACGTGAGGCTGTTCCCTCGTCGGATGAGAATGCTACGGCTGAGGATGCGGCGCCACAAATGGTAGAGCAACCCGCAAACGTGGATGCCGCCGTGAATACCCCAGTTGTGGTTGATTCAAACGATGATGGAACAGTCGCCCAGGAACTGGAATTAGAGCATATGAGGAGTATATTGGAAGAGGCGATTGTGGAAACGCGCAGTACGCCTCTCGAAAATCGACCGCGACTTCCCCGCATAGCCCTAAGCAAGCGGAATCGGGCTGTCGTGAGGGCTCTGAACCCAATGCTGGTTACCTATTTGGAAGCCAGCCGGGACCTTTGCGAGACGGACTCAATTCTTTTTGGCGCCGCGCTGGCAGTCTGCCGTATCATAGGCGCCAAGGTTTCCACGGCTGGACGCGCTACTGGCCATAGTAGCGCTATCCCAGCATGGAGAAGAAGAATTGAGGAACGTATCGCAAAGGCTAGAGCTCTCATCGGCAGACTGATATGCTTCAGATCAGGCAACAACAGGCCAAGAATTGTGCGCACCGTCAGGATGGCGTTTGCTGGGACAAATGTCAGTTTGTCCCAGCCGGATATAACGCAAAAACTGACGGAGCGCATAGATGATCTGAAGCAGAGAATCGCTGCTTGGGGAAAGCGGATTCGGCGATATACCGAGAGGTCGACACGGTTCAACCAGAATCGTCTCTTCCAGAGTGATCAGAAGAGGCTCTATGAATCATTGGAGCGACCAATGGTAAGTGGAACGGGTCCAGCACCGAATCAGGCCGACACTGTAGCATTCTGGCGCGGCCTGTGGTCAGAGCCCGTAAACCATAGCGAGGGCCCTTGGACGGAAGTTGTGGCGAGTCAGTGTGCGGGTATTACGCCCATGGACCCCGTCATCATAACGCCGGATGACGTAGCTGAGGCGGTTCGTAGGGCCCCGAACTGGAAAAGTCCGGGGCTTGACGGGCTGCATCACTACTGGCTGAAGGGGTTCATGGTGTGTCACTCTGTGCTCGCCCGACAGTTTCAAGAGGCTCTCAACCAGAAGTCGCTCCCAAGCCTCTTCACTACTGGGATCACTCATTTGGTTCCTAAAGACCAGGGTACCACAGACCCGAGCAAATACCGCCCCATCACGTGTCTACCGACCATATACAAGACACTAACATCCATTTTGAGCGCGAGAATCACTTGTCACCTGGACTCAAATCAGGTGATGTCGCGCGCTCAAAATGGATGTCGGGGCGGTGGTCGTGGAACCAAGGAACCACTCCTCATTGACGCGGTCATTGGCAAAGTGGTGAAACGCAACCGTCGGAACTTCTCCGCCGCCTGGATAGACTACAGAAAGGCATTCGACTCGGTGCCCCATACATGGCTAAAGAGAGTCCTCGAGCTGTACAAGATAGACTGTACAGTTAGAGACTTCCTCGAGCAGTGTATGGGGCAGTGGAGTACGATCCTTTGTCATCTGGGCGAGCGGATGATGGCTGCGGAGAACCACATAAGGATAAGAAGGGGTATCTTCCAGGGCGATTGTCTGAGTCCAATCTGGTTCTGCCTCTCTCTGAACCCTCTCAGTACCTTACTGGAGGGCTCCGGGAGGGGATTTCAGCTACGGAAAGGAGGGACAAAAGTGACCCACCTTTTCTATATGGATGACCTCAAGTTATTCGCCTCCAGTCGCTCCCATCTTATGGAATTGCTAAACATCACTTGTGAATTTAGCAATTCCATTGGAATGGAGCTGGGGATGGATAAGTGTGCGGTCCTCCATGTTGAAAGGGGAAGGGTTGCTAACTCTGAGGGCGTAGACTTATCTATGCCCGTCAACTTAAGGACCCTTTCCGAGGCTGAAACATACCGATACCTGGGTATGTCACAAAACATCGGTATCGATGAGACTGGTATGAAACAGTCAGTTTGCGACGTGTTTTATGCACGCTTGACCAAAGTGCTTAACAGCCTTTTGTCCGGTGTGAATAAGGCACACGCATATAACGGCTGGGTCATGCCTGTCCTCATGTATACCTTTGGCATACTCAGGTGGACTCAGACTGAACTTAACGCCCTGGATAGAAAAGTCCGCACTACAATGACGTCCCATAGGATGCATCATCCGAGATCGTCGGTAATGAGGCTGTACTTGCCGCGGAAGCATGGTGGTCGTGGCTTCTTGAGCGCGCTCACCATGCATAATCGCGAAGTGTGCAGCCTCCGTGATTACTTCCTGGCGAGATCGGATGATCCATTCTATAAGGACGTCATTTCTTGTGATAAAGGACTTACCCCTCTATCCTTAGCCAACGAGCAATGGCAAGACCCGGCAGTGCAGAGCATTTCCGACCGGGAGACCGTATGGAAGGAGAAGGAGCTCCACGGGAGGTTCTACAAGGCTCTACATGAGCCTTTCGTAGACACAGTAGCCTCCCTCCACTGGCTACGCTTTGGTGATCTCTTCGGGGGAAACCGAGGGTTTTGTCTGTGCAATACAGGATCAGGTTATTAGGACCAACAACTATCGGAGATACATCCTAAAGGATGGCACCGTCGACATCTGTCGAGCTTGTCGCCATCCCGGTGAGTCACTTAGGCATGTTATCTCCGGTTGTTCGGCGCTTTCTAACTCTGAGTACTTGCACAGGCACAACCTAGTAGCCAGAATTCTACACCAGGAGCTCGCTCTGAAATACGGTCTCGTGGATCGGAAATTGCCGTATTACAAGTACTTGCCGGAAGCCGTGCTCGAAAATGATCGCGCCAGGCTCTATTGGGACCGGGCCATCATCACAGACAGGACTATTCTTGCGAATAAGCCTGATATTGTGCTGATGGACCGAGCACAGTCAAGGATATTTTTGGTCGACATTACCATTCCGTATGACGAGAACCTCGTGAAAGCCGAAACAGACAAGCAAACAAAATATCTGGACCTGGCTCACGAGGTGACCGACATGTGGGGTGGTCTGCCGACCGAAATTATTCCTGTAGTCGTCTCTGCAAACGGGCTAATCCCAGTCAGCCTCTCGGGTCATCTGAGGCGGCTGGGACTACGTGGCGGACCGCTCCAGGTTCAAATGCAGAAGGCGGTGCTCCTCGATACCGCCCGCATCGTCCGCCGGTTTCTTTCCCTTTCCCCCTAACCCTCGGCCGTTTGGTCTCCCCTGCCGAGGGCCTCCATCTGGTGGGGCTTTTATTTATTTATGTACTTTTATATTTATTTTATGTTATTGATATTTATGTATATTTGTCTTTTCATTTTCATTTATAATTATATATTTATAGCACCCAACCAGATGAGAAAACTATATAGATACCCCAAAATAATAATAATAATAATAGGCGTAGGGAATTGACGACCCCATCGCCCGCTGACGTAACAGTTAAGTGACAAAACTGCTACGTCAACGCAGTCAGTCAGCGCCTTGCGAGAGGTGTGAGCGCCGTGCCGCGGCAGAATTTAGGGTGCAGAGGCCCGTTTGTGCTTATGGCTACACACGAAACGGTGCCGGGCCTGGGCGTCTCACGTTAATGGACGCCCAAGTAATGGATGATGGATAAAAAGATAGTGCGCAAAGGGCCGCTGCCTGGGGGTCGCCGGGGCGCGTCTGGAGCTGGCGCTGGACGCGGCAGCATGCGGGCCGCCAGCCGAGCGCGAGGAGCTGCACGGTCACCTAGCAGCCCTCCGCATCCATCATCCCCACCAGAAGGCTTGGTGTCGGCTGGGTCTTCTCGGACTCAGCAAGCGGCACCCGCCGCTGGTGGAGCACGTCGCATGCGTTGGTCACAAGAAATGAATGCAAACGCACTGCGGGCGTACTTTAGGGCAAAAGGGGAAGAAACTGGATGTTTGGCGTATCGGGCTAGGATGCATCGTCTTTTTGCTGAGCTGGAGCCATCTTTAACCGTCACAGAGCAAAACCTGGCAGACCGAGTTCGGTATATCTTGCGCTCAAATATATTTGATGTCGCCGAACTCGAACGGCTACGACGTGAGGCTGTTCCCTCGTCGGATGAGAATGCTACGGCTGAGGATGCGGCGCCACAAATGGTAGAGCAACCCGCAAACGTGGATGCCGCCGTGAATACCCCAGTTGTGGTTGATTCAAACGATGATGGAACAGTCGCCCAGGAACTGGAATTAGAGCATATGAGGAGTATATTGGAAGAGGCGATTGTGGAAACGCGCAGTACGCCTCTCGAAAATCGACCGCGACTTCCCCGCATAGCCCTAAGCAAGCGGAATCGGGCTGTCGTGAGGGCTCTGAACCCAATGCTGGTTACCTATTTGGAAGCCAGCCGGGACCTTTGCGAGACGGACTCAATTCTTTTTGGCGCCGCGCTGGCAGTCTGCCGTATCATAGGCGCCAAGGTTTCCACGGCTGGACGCGCTACTGGCCATAGTAGCGCTATCCCAGCATGGAGAAGAAGAATTGAGGAACGTATCGCAAAGGCTAGAGCTCTCATCGGCAGACTGATATGCTTCAGATCAGGCAACAACAGGCCAAGAATTGTGCGCACCGTCAGGATGGCGTTTGCTGGGACAAATGTCAGTTTGTCCCAGCCGGATATAACGCAAAAACTGACGGAGCGCATAGATGATCTGAAGCAGAGAATCGCTGCTTGGGGAAAGCGGATTCGGCGATATACCGAGAGGTCGACACGGTTCAACCAGAATCGTCTCTTCCAGAGTGATCAGAAGAGGCTCTATGAATCATTGGAGCGACCAATGGTAAGTGGAACGGGTCCAGCACCGAATCAGGCCGACACTGTAGCATTCTGGCGCGGCCTGTGGTCAGAGCCCGTAAACCATAGCGAGGGCCCTTGGACGGAAGTTGTGGCGAGTCAGTGTGCGGGTATTACGCCCATGGACCCCGTCATCATAACGCCGGATGACGTAGCTGAGGCGGTTCGTAGGGCCCCGAACTGGAAAAGTCCGGGGCTTGACGGGCTGCATCACTACTGGCTGAAGGGGTTCATGGTGTGTCACTCTGTGCTCGCCCGACAGTTTCAAGAGGCTCTCAACCAGAAGTCGCTCCCAAGCCTCTTCACTACTGGGATCACTCATTTGGTTCCTAAAGACCAGGGTACCACAGACCCGAGCAAATACCGCCCCATCACGTGTCTACCGACCATATACAAGACACTAACATCCATTTTGAGCGCGAGAATCACTTGTCACCTGGACTCAAATCAGGTGATGTCGCGCGCTCAAAATGGATGTCGGGGCGGTGGTCGTGGAACCAAGGAACCACTCCTCATTGACGCGGTCATTGGCAAAGTGGTGAAACGCAACCGTCGGAACTTCTCCGCCGCCTGGATAGACTACAGAAAGGCATTCGACTCGGTGCCCCATACATGGCTAAAGAGAGTCCTCGAGCTGTACAAGATAGACTGTACAGTTAGAGACTTCCTCGAGCAGTGTATGGGGCAGTGGAGTACGATCCTTTGTCATCTGGGCGAGCGGATGATGGCTGCGGAGAACCACATAAGGATAAGAAGGGGTATCTTCCAGGGCGATTGTCTGAGTCCAATCTGGTTCTGCCTCTCTCTGAACCCTCTCAGTACCTTACTGGAGGGCTCCGGAAGGGGGATTTCAGCTACGGAAAGGAGGGACAAAAGTGACCCACCTTTTCTATATGGATGACCTCAAGTTATTCGCCTCCAGTCGCTCCCATCTTATGGAATTGCTAAACATCACTTGTGAATTTAGCAATTCCATTGGAATGGAGCTGGGGACGGATAAGTGTGCGGTCCTCCATGTTGAAAGGGGAAGGGTTGCTAACTCTGAGGGCGTAGACTTATCTATGCCCGTCAACTTAAGGACCCTTTCCGAGGCTGAAACATACCGATACCTGGGTATGTCACAAAACATCGGTATCGATGAGACTGGTATGAAACAGTCAGTTTGCGACGTGTTTTATGCACGCTTGACCAAAGTGCTTAACAGCCTTTTGTCCGGTGTGAATAAGGCACACGCATATAACGGCTGGGTCATGCCTGTCCTCATGTATACCTTTGGCATACTCAGGTGGACTCAGACTGAACTTAACGCCCTGGATAGAAAAGTCCGCACTACAATGACGTCCCATAGGATGCATCATCCGAGATCGTCGGTAATGAGGCTGTACTTGCCGCGGAAGCATGGTGGTCGTGGCTTCTTGAGCGCGCTCACCATGCATAATCGCGAAGTGTGCAGCCTCCGTGATTACTTCCTGGCGAGATCGGATGATCCATTCTATAAGGACGTCATTTCTTGTGATAAAGGACTTACCCCTCTATCCTTAGCCAACGAGCAATGGCAAGACCCGGCAGTGCAGAGCATTTCCGACCGGGAGACCGTATGGAAGGAGAAGGAGCTCCACGGGAGGTTCTACAAGGCTCTACATGAGCCTTTCGTAGATACAGTAGCCTCCCTCCACTGGCTACGCTTTGGTGATCTCTTCGGGGAAACCGAGGGTTTTGTCTGTGCAATACAGGATCAGGTTATTAAGACCAACAACTATCGGAGATACATCCTAAAGGATGGCACCGTCGACATCTGTCGAGCTTGTCGCCATCCCGGTGAGTCACTTAGGCATGTTATCTCCGGTTGTTCGGCGCTTTCTAACTCTGAGTACTTGCACAGGCACAACCTAGTAGCCAGAATTCTACACCAGGAGCTCGCTCTGAAATACGGTCTCGTGGATCGGAAATTGCCGTATTACAAGTACTTGCCGGAAGCCGTGCTCGAAAATGATCGCGCCAGGCTCTATTGGGACCGGGCCATCATCACAGACAGGACTATTCTTGCGAATAAGCCTGATATTGTGCTGATGGACCGGGCACAGTCTCGACATTACCCGTATGACGAGAACCTCGGGAAAGCCGAAACAGACAAGCAAACAAAATATCTGGACCTGGCTCACGAGGTGACCGACATGTGGGGGGGTCTGCCGACCGAAATTATTCCTGTAGTCGTCTCTGCAAACGGGCTAATCCCAGTCAGCCTCTCGGGTCATCTGAGGCGGCTGGGACTACGTGGCGGACCGCTCCAGGTTCAAATGCAGAAGGCGGTGCTCCTCGATACCGCTCGCATCGTCCGCCGGTTTCTTTCCCTTTCCCCCTAACCCTCGGCCGTTTGGTCTCCCCTGCCGAGGGCCTCAATCTGGTTGGGCTTTTATTTATTTATGTACTTTTATATTTATTTTATGTTATTGATATTTATGTATATTTATCTTTTCATTTTCATTTATAATTATATATTTATAGCACCCAACCAGATGAGAAAACTATATTGATACCCCCACATAATAATAATTTCTTTATTTGCTTAAAACATGGTGTTTATTTAGCATTAGCAGCTTTAGTTACATTGTTCAATAAAAACTAGGCAATACGACTATTTATTTACCTTAAGGAGTTTATGTTTGTCTAAAGTTTTGGTTTCAGCGCGAATAACTCTCTCGTACCGAACAGACGGCTGTAAATTGCTTCGTGTAAAGTTATCCAATTTGAAATTTAAATCAAAGGCTTGATACGCCTTGAGTTCCCACTGTGAGTTTTACCTTTACGGCGGCTAAAATGGCAACTCAAACGGAAGTGTTGCTTTAAACTTTCACTAAATGAATACCTTTTAAATTTACTGTTTATTAAACCTACGTGACAAACGAACTTGCAGCAGCAGCTGATGGTAACTGGCTACTGTATTCCTTGGACACCTGCAGATATCTTCCAATTAAGAAAACTACAGATGTGTTGTCCCCTCTGAGGACTAAGATTGTTTTTGTTGTTTGATCTGTAACTATATTGGCTCTCTACACCCTTCAGACTAGAACATATCAGTTCAAGCACTACTATTTGGTGACAGAAGTAGGTAAAAGGAAGTTACCTGTCCAGACGCAGTTCTAGGTTCTATATATATATATATATATATTTTTAGTCGTTATTAGTAAAAGTCGCCACTTACGACATCCACAGGATGTCCAATGGGTGACAATATGGAGTCGGGTTTCGTTATAAATTTATATATATTTTTTATAGAATAAGAGTAACAAACGAGCACATAGTCTATCTGTAGGTGTGTCTATATGTAGTAAGTGGATGCTATGGCTCATATACATCTACATCTATTTTAGATGAAGAATCAAGATGCAGATGTGGACAGGAATAAGATGAATTATATCGTCTCCAGTAAAAGGGGTTTCCGGTTCTCTACACTCACAATACGAGACACTGCAGCATTTTTGCTATTTCACGCTCGTATTCTGTGAAAGCCTGTTTCTTTCATTTTGATCTCGTTCGAGCTGACCCATTAGCGCTACAACCATACTATTGTAGCAACGTGGCTCGATCACGTTATAGAAATATAAAAGTAGAGTTTAATTACATCGCTCATACCTGACCTAGTAAAATGTAAGCAATGATACCTGTACTTCGATCAATTTTTAAGGAAAAATAGGAATAAGACTAAGAGTAGCAACATTTTTAACCTATAAATGTCCCATGTTTAAAATTAGGCTCATTTAGGTCATTTTTATTCTTCTTCAGTATCTTTACGTCCACCACTGAACATGGACATCCAAGAAAGTGTATTCTTAGCAGAGCTGGAAAGTATTAATTCAAAGATTTGTCAAAGTTATCAAGCTTAATAGGTATGTATTTTAAAGCTTTATCCACACTAGGATGTAGCCCTGGTTCGAGAAGGTGGTTTACACACCTAAATCAAATGGAGTGATCGATTCTCTTAGTATGTCCAGTGTATAATGGTGGACTTCACATATTCTTGTAATATTTTCTTTCTTAGATATGCAGGTTTACCCACAATGTTTTCCTTTAAAACCGACTTCACCGAGCACGTAGTAAATCAGCACTTTAAATAATGCAATATATTACATTAACAACCTGTCAAAGGTTTAGCATCACGAAATTGAACAAAAAGCAATCACAAACAACAAAAAGCGTACACAAATGTAAAAATAAAAACGCGAATGTAAATGTATATCGATATTTACGAGAAAGAAAGAGAGAACAGCGTCTGAGATGCGGGGTGTCTGATACTTCGATCGACAATCCGTCTGCAAATGCGAGATTATTGCAAAGCCTTCCAAATTGGAAGCGGCTTACATCAGGTTGGAAGCGTTTCACGGACTGATAACGCGATTCGGATTTCGTACGCCGAATCCTACAATTTGTATAAAGCTTTTGTTAGAATGAAATTTAGCATCGGTCCAGTGTTCTGGTACAGTATGTTGTTATATTTTGAGGTAATTTAAATATGTGTAGGATTGGGTTTGATTAGTTTACCACCGTCTGAGCGGGTTCCCAACGTCATAAAGGGGGGGGGGGGGCGCTGAGTAGCTATGGTTTGGTCACCCATGGTGAATAAAGAAAAACCCACATGTTGTCCCGAGATAAAAGAGCAGGCCGTCTTATGGGTTCCTCTTAGTTTCACCGCGCGTGGTGCGTGCGTGTTGGTGGACTGGAACCGCTACCGTCCCAACGGAGGTGTGATCGCGGGGAAACAGGAGTTTTGATGAAACTGGTGATCCACCTCAGCTTTTTTTAGATAGGATGTATTAATTTGGCGTTATTTTATATATTTTTCGTTTTAACAAAAATTCTTCAAAATTTTTGGATAGAATATTGCCTAAATCCCTCCTGGAATTACTCTTTATCTTGAAAGTAAGTTTCGTTACAATCGTATTGGCCATTCCCATGATTATTCCGAACAGACAGACAGATTTATTTTAGACATAGACATAGACATAGACATAGACATAGACATAGACATAGACATAGACATGCATTTATTCAGCAACTTACATTCATACAGTTTTGATACAGAAAATAAAATAATACATAAAAACATCAAAGATAAAAGTAAATAACAAAAAACAGTCATAAAATGATCCAATTGCATGAGTGATGTGATGCTGAAAAGGGCACTGACTCAACATAATGCTATCGCAGGATTGCGGTAGCGTTGGTTTTCAGCAATGCCCATTGAGGTTGAACTCGCCTGCGAGGAATAGTATGTTCGCTTTATTTCTATTTTCGAGAAAGATGTTATCAAAATAATAAAATAAAATAATGGTAATGAAAATGAAAAAGGATGGGAACTTTATTTATGCAGTAGGTACATATAAATATATATAATAAATAATATAATGAGAATTTATAATAAAACAATATAGATATTTATATTATACTATAAAAATATAATATAATGCAGCTATTTTATCCGCCCTAAATGTTAACGTGACAAAAATATTCTTTTACTTTTACCTTGAAAAGGCTGATGGTATTTAGTTGGCGGATAGGTGGGGGCAAGTTGTTCCAGCATTTAGTAGCTGCGGATATCGGAAACTACCACGGAATGCTGCCGTTGTGTGTTTTGGTATTGAAAGGACATTTGATTTTGTTCGAATGTCCTTAAAATTACCGTCCTTGCGCCATTTTAGTTTTTCTAATAGATACCCGGGCTTTTTGTTTTGAAAGACACCGAACATTAGTGTTGCTAAATGTAGTTCTCTTAATTGGGACATTCTTAATAACTTTGATTTATTTAAATAGGGACTGACGTGCGTTCGTGGGGGAATGTGGTGTATATACCTGGCACAAGCATTTTGGATCCTCTGAATTATTCGGTCAGTTTTCGAAAGTAGCCTTGGTCCATATACCGTATCGGCATAGTTTAGCCTGGAGAGTACAAGGGAGTTGCAAAGCTTAATGCGCAGATCTTCACTCAAAAAGTCACGTATTCGGTATAATACTTTTAGTCTGTAAAAGCAATTACGTGCGATCTCGATCACGCGTCTCTCAAAGCGAAGCGCGTCATCCATAAGCAATCCCAGATTCTTAGCTTCAGTCACACGATTTATCTTCTCCCCGAGGACACACACATCAGGATTATTTGCAACTATTCGATTTATCTGTCGCTTTGATCCCAATACTATGTATTTTGATTTTGCTGGATTGAGTACAAGAGTGTTGGCTTCTGACCACTGGACGATTTTCGTTAGATCTCTATTTAAGTTATTAACAGCCCAGTTAGTTTGACTTGGTACAAAGGAAAGATATACCTGCAAATCGTCTGCATACATATGATATTTACAGTTCTGAATAGCTGTACTAATATCTGCTATATACAGTATGAATAAAAGAGGGCCTAGTATGGATCCTTGTGGAACTCCTCTCGTTACAGGACAAGGACTTGATAGAGTATGTGTACCATCTTTTTTGATTATTTTAACCAACTGCATGCGATCATTTAGATAACTGGAGAACCACTTGATTGCGGTTGGATCGAATCCATAATAGGAAAGCTTGGACAATAACAATTCGATGTTAAGAGACTCGAAAGCTCGTGAGAAATCAAGTAGTGTCATGATTGTTCCTTCACCTATATCTTGAGATGCTAAAATATTGTCCACTACGTCTAATAGTGCTGTTGTCGTGCTATGATGCTTTCTAAAACCAGACTGCAGTTTTGGTAGTATGTGATTACTCTCCAAGTACGCTTCAAGCTGTGTACATACTACTCTTTCCAGTATTTTCGACAAGCAGGGTAGGATGCTGATAGGGCGCAGGTCTTTGAAATTTATAATGCTATTGGTTTTTGGAATTGGTGTAACCAAAGCGGTTTTCCAGACGTCAGGGAAATAAGACGTGGTTATCGATCTGTTAACTATCGCGGTGATTACTTTTAGTGTGTAAGGAAGTGTTAAAACAACCATATCCAGGCATATGCCGTCAGCGCCCAAAGCGTTTGACTTAAGTGAATTAATTATTTTGGCTATTGTGTTTTCGTCTGTAACACTTAACTTAAATGTTGAAGAACAAAATCGATGGGAGCCAAAGAAAACATGTTCTGAATCGGGTGCTGAATCATTTCCAGGTATATTGCAAAAGTGAGAATTAATCAAATCCGGATCGTTGAGTTGGTCAGGAATTACATAGTCTCTAGATTTTTCTGATATGTTTATTGTCCGTTTAAGATTGATCCAAAGAGCTTTAGAATTAGTTAAATTGTGGTTTATATGTTGATTGAAATAGGCCTGTTTTTCGCGGTATAACGCTGAGTTTACAGCATGCTTAAGTTCTTTGTAATAACTTTTGTGCTTCTCTAATCTAGTTAAACGAAAACGATTATGTGCTTCATTCCACAGTTTTATCATTTCTCGAATAGTAAAGGTAATCCATGGATATGTACGCTCTTTTACTTGCTTGAGCTTTAGTGGTGCGAATTGGTCAAACAGGCTTAACAATGTTAAATTGAATTGAGAAACCATATCATTTACATGAGGTAATTGGGCTATAGAATCCCAGTCGATACTTTCTATTTCGAAATTAAAACTATCACGATTTATGTCTTTCACTGGGCGATACATGAACTGAATTGGTTGACATTTTGGCTTATTGATTTTAAAGTTACATGTTAAGAAAGCGTGATTACTTAGAGTTGGTATGTAATCGACGGTTACGTTAGAGATTGGTAGGTCGGTGCATATTAAATCAATTAATGTAGCACTGTAAGGAGTAAAGTGTGTAGGTTCATTTACATATTGGGTTAAATTTAGGTATTTTGTAAAATTGTCAAATTTATGAGTATTGTTGTCAGTTACCAGTAAATTTATATTGAAGTCACCCAAGAGCACAATATTATCGCGATGGGCAAAAGATGATACTGAATCAGTAAGTGCGTCAAAAAAAATGTCTACGTCAAGCCATGGTGGTCTATAAGCAGTACCTATTATCAGATTTATGCCGTTAACAGTTAAATTAAGCCACATTTGTTCAACTGATGTTGCGGCAGGAAATACACACGTTTTTACGGCGAGTCCATGACGTACATAGAATCCAACCCCACCACCACGTGCGTGCGTGGTACTTGAACGTGGAATATGACGCAAGCGGTAACCGGGGATAGATGGCGCGCGACCTTGTTCTCCATCACGTAGCCAGGTCTCGTTTATAGCCATGATATCTACATCATGCTGCACCGTTGCCACAATGAAGTCTTCATACCTTGTACCCAAAGAACCCGGATTTAAAAAACCAACCTTCAGCTTTTGATTTTTTAGGCGCCATTTTGCACAGAGAGTATAATATATATCTGAACACAGTGACACGAGCAACTTCAGTATATGCATATAAACATACGTACGCATACTTATACAAACACACTCACATACACACATATACACAAATAGGGCAGCACCGTAGCTATAGCCGTATAACAAATCAAATTTCGTGTTATCTAATATTTTTCTGAAAAGTTGAATATCATAATTTATATAGTTAGTGTAATTGAATATTGGTGTTATATAATAAATTAAATAGTTGTTTATGACATAAGTTATTATGATAATATAGAATATTATAAAATATGGGCAAAAATAAAGAGAGCATTTTAAACCGGAAAATATAAAACGTATTACATGTATAATATACGTATATACATAATAATATGCATTATGTATCATCAGCGTCACAGCACTTACAAATAATTTGTTCAATAATGTTAAAAAGTGTAGTACAGTATTATTAAACGACATAAACGGATACATGACAAAACGAGTAGGGCATAGACATATTAATCTAAAAATCATTTTCAAAAATTTTGTTAAATATGCAAGCACCAATAGTT